AGTTACATAAGTAATTCGAGTGGGCTTACTTGTGGGTATCACCTAACAAGTTGTGACTTCAATCAATGATACTTAGACAACATGGAATAAATCGACAAATAGTTACATAAGTAAGTAGAGTGGGCTTACTTGGGGGGGGGGGTATCAACAATTGGTGAGTTCAATAGATAGACAAATAGTTATATGTAAGTAGTGTGGGTTTATTAGGGGTATTGCATAACAATTGGTCAGTTCACCTAATAATACTCAGCATGGATTCAATAGACAAATACTGTAGTTACATAACTAAATAGAATGGGGTTACTTAGGGGTTTTGCCCAACGTAAGGTCAGTTCACCTAATCATACTTTAACAGCGTGGAACAAATAGACAAAATATAGTGACAATAGTATAGTAAGTAAGGTGGGATTTAACTTTGGGAATTACCTTATATTCAATTCAATGTTAAATCGATTCAATTTATTTCACAATACAATTGTGTCAAATCATACTTGTACCATATATCGGGGCGATCATCTAATTATGGTATGGATAATGGTTAATAATTAGACAAATAGTTGTATTTGAAAGTCGGCGAGTGGGTTACTAGTAACTTTGAGTTTTATCTAACATTACATTCGTAACAGAAATCTACATAAATTCGCGTTCACCTGCTCCGACTGATAAAACACACGAGGGGAAAGAGTACCCGTGTATATACAACCTACCGCCGAGCAAGACACGCACATACCGCCGAGCAAATGTTTGATAATGTCATCTCGTAGGAAAATGGACAATAAAGGTAATATAATGTCACTAACAATTCCTTTGGATGGTTAGAGGTGTTACTAAGATGTTCTAGCAGGCGCAATTGGCCTAGAATTATAGTTGAAATATATTTTTATGTCCAAATTAAGAGATAAGGTAAACGTATAATGGTTTTCGATTTGTTTTTCTCATTCATACTCGCTTTAATTGATAATAGCCATACATAAGACATACTTGGGTCGGTAAATGGATGTGCATATGCATAATATATTAAGTGTCAAAATATTAGGTCAAAATAGCACTTTTGAACAGCAAAATCTTCACTTAAACTTTGTCCTAAAAGATCCGAGGTTATCGGACATCGGACCCGATGTGATCGACGAGTAATATTATAAAGATCCGAAAATATCTTGAGTAAAGGATCTCAGAATCCGAACATTACTTGAGTAAAATCTGTTGAGATCCGATTATATCGTCGAGTTTATGACGTGCTGATGAAAAAATAATAAACATACAATCTGCATCATTCATGTGAATCATTTTGTTGTGAACAATAAATGAAACTGAAAAAAATATGGCTATCACCAGTTACCACTGCACATTTTTTTAAATAATCATTTATTTCAAATATATACTATACATACAATAATACAATAATAACGTTTGACAAGGTTACAAGTAACATTATTGTCAAACTGAAAATTTTAATGTAGTTACATTCGTAATTTTTACTTTAGAAAGAAAGATTCATTATTTTATTTAAAATGGTCAAGTTGTGTGCTTAATTAATGTGTAGAGTTTGGTTACGTGTCCAGTAGGTCTTTGGTGGATTGCAAAAATGACACACTTGCTTTGATTATTAAAATATTAGTACCACTGCACATCGAAACATTGTATTTCAGGTCCTCGGTACAAATGCTTCCACTGTAGTTATAAATCACACGAGATTGATGACTTTGTGGTCCACTTCAGTCAGCACCATCCATTACTGAGTATTAAAGTTAATGTGCCTGAGTTAAATGGCAAAAAATGGATTTACAATGTTTTTGACTATGGTATTGTATTATCAAAGAAAGATCACGGTTATTTTCGTTTCGAGGAAATGAAGCTTGTGAAGCTTGGGATTCTTCAAGTTGTGTTCTTTGAGTAGAATGGCGCTTGCAATGCAGAATTAAATGTTTTTGGGTTGCACTCTTACCATAGACACATAGGAAATATGGTGATTCAAGTGTAAGCATGAATTCAATGTTTTAAAGAACTTTGCCGGAAACAGACGTTGACGTATAGTGCTGCGGGAATTATATCATATTATATTATATCCCGGTGCCAGGAGTATATGATAAATAAAAAGGAATATTTGTGATATCGTCATGATATTATATGCTCATTCGAAAGCTTACTCACTACCTCATCGGGTTCTACTCACGGTATAGTCGGAATAGCTCGGTGGTAGCTTCGGGTCCTATATAATCGTACTCGTGACATAGTCGGGTCTTTCATTTTCAACTTTCACCGGTGATTTCAATGATATGCAACGTATGGCAGTGAAATAAATATGATACATTTACACCTATTGTATCTTTGAATCGAATGAAGTAAAGACAGCCATGGTTGTTACTTATTCAAGATGTAAATCATCATTCAACTATTTAAAAGTTGAATTTAGCGATTGGATAGTAAACATTGCGCTAAGTACTCATTATTTTGCAAACATGAGTGCCTGGAACAATAACTTTATCAGTTACACACAATTCTGTGTTTTATCTGTTTCTCATATTGAGAAATTCAAGATATAAACAAAAGTTTATAACTCACCCCCTACATTTTCAGACATCTTCGGGTCTTTGCTCGGCGGTAGGTTGTATATACACGGGTACTCTTTCCCCTCGTGAAACATATTTTACATTACTCAAAGTAAATATTATTCGACTATCATTTTTTCTCGAATTGCTATCAGGTATTTCGTTTTGAAGAGCCGTATTATTATGTCAAGTCAACATTAACTTGGTTCTTTTATTTGTTTTAAGTTGAATTCTTAAGTAAATATAATCGAAAAGTTGGACCTACCCTGACCAAATTTATTATTTTGACATTATTTTGATTTCCTGATACACAAATATAAAAAGCCAATTCAATGTTGATAATACTTCCAAGGGTGGGGCCAGGACCAAACAGTAAGGTACATCATCCGACTGTTATCATCTGTTCTGTTATATGTTACATACAATGTAACCTTTTTATAAGAGTGACAATCTCAATCTCACCTCTGGGATGGTTTTTGAGTGTTAAAGGTACGGTACAATACAATTGGCTAACCTATCAAAATATGATTACTATGTACTGGGCATTTCAGCAATTCTGATTTGATATCATATAACTCGCCACATAAGACATTTCTATGTGACCCTCATTCACAAATCTTGAATGGCTTACGTGTACTAAGTGAGAGGGTCCGTAAACGTGTTTTTAAGTTTTGAATAATGAATCCACATAAAAACAACATCACACAATATCTCGTGTGCACTAGGAGACCCATTTTCGTGGTTTCTATGTATGACATGTCATTGAATAACTATTTTAATTAATGCTAGCATAATCTTTTAGGTTGAATTCAATATGAGAATGTTTGTTCTACGCGTCTATTGATTCTAGACCAATTTTATGTAAAGTAAACAAAGCCTCCCAAACTTCAAGGAGCGGCTATAATGTTAAATGATGACGAGAATATTGTTAAACTGCTAAAATAGTTGATACGTATTGCGTGTTGTTCAGTTTTTTGTTGAGATTATTCTTATTCAACCTTTTGAAGTCTACTCGCGTATAAAAAATGTAATTTCAATATAAATAAAGGTTTTTATCTAGCTGTTGAAATTATTCAACCATTTAGGTAAACATGTTTTTATCAAAATAAAAATAGATTTTTGTGCGGTCGTTAGCATAGAATCCAACTGAAATCTGGCAATAGTATAATGCATAATAAAAACGAAACAGAATTAGGAAATTTTCCAAGTAACAATTAAAAAACGAAGAAAGAAAGAAATATTTGAATTTTTTCCTGGTTTGGTTAACTTATACTTGGTCTTTGTACCCGAAAAAAGGATGTGAGTATTTTGTCAGTGACAAATGCTAGAATCATATCCGTTTTGTGATAAACCGATTCAAACAGGTGGCTTGGATTGAATAACAATGTCTTCCTTGACTAAGAGGAACATTGTTACACTCATGCCCTGCATGCTTTGCGATGTGAGCTCGGGAAAACAACAATAAAAAAGTTGAATGTGTAGCGAGCAGACTTCAAGTGACGTTGTTAAAACAAGGTCGGTGACTCAATGACAATCTAATATTCGTGTTCTAAACTACAACCTTTGAATATCCTTATCAGTACGTTTACATAATTGATAACGGCATAAAAATGGCGGATTCTTCTGAGACCTAAATAAAACAGAAAAGTAGGGCCATAAGGGCAATCTGAGGTCAGTCAAATAGTTGTGGTCAGTTTTTACACGTAACCAAACCATACCCCGGTGTCCTGAAAATGCCATATCGTTTTTGATATCCTGATAATAAATGATTCGTCGAGCAAGCCTATTCAGTTTGACCACCGAACAGCTGCTTACATAATATTTTGTGAATATATTCGTAAAAGCCTGAAAACCAAGCTGGGACTAATCAAACATACAGATAGTGCTATAAAACCCCAAAGTACTTTTTATGATGGAGTAGTCTATAGTTACATCGCAGTGATGTAATCAGTAACATGGACTATTTCGGTAACGCACCGAGTTGACCCCAACTAGGCTGTACCGATCCCCGATGGATGTAATAAATAAAACATATACCCGTCTCTAATTGATAGCTATAAGATGACCGGCGATTTGAAACGTCTCTTCTAAACCGGTTTTGTCATAAACATATTCGATTCTTTGTGATGCTAATCAGCGAATATACCTGTCTGTTAAGTGTAATTCAATTACGTATTCTTTTGGAAAAGACAACCTCTGTTATAACTAACTATTTCCACTGCGGCCCACTCATATTATAGCCATCTTGATTCACCACGGTATATTACCTCATCCTGACAAGTCATAACAACATAATGTGTCCTTGCCACCATAATGCCAGGCAATAAACACACTCTGTTACCTAATATTAGCCACACGTGTCCTTAACTGTTATGATAATATAAACGCCTAGAGTGTATAGTCCAGACGCTATTATATAACCATGCGGTAAAATGCCTTCATTGAGTAGTCATAACATTACGGTCTCGTGGTCAACATTATGTAATCGGCTAGACTGTATTATATAAGGTAGAATAACACGTGTACTGAATAACCCGTGAGTATAATTTAGATAGGGGATTGGTATTGGGATGGTTTACATCATTGTGGCATAAGGTTAGCTATTCGGGCTCGGTTATTTCCTCTTTTTGAAAATGTGGTCATTCGGCACATCTAATGCGTATGTAAGATAGTTCCAAATAAAGAAAGTTTTTGTGGTTAAACATTGCGCCGGGATTCTGTTATAATAAGTTCTTTGTTCGCTGTTTTCATTTTAAAACCACATCCCAAGCTTCAATTTTTTCTTTCAGATCCGTAATAAGAAATCTAAGAACACTTTATAATGAATAATGACATCAATTCATTGTGACAATAACGCAAATATGAAAGGGTGTCAACGCAATCTAAAAAGCCTAAACGCAACAACAACCTGGCCATTTATAAAATTGCGCATGTTGTATTGAAAAGCCAACACTGCTAGAGGGGTTAGGTCATTTTTTATTGCGAAGAAACATAAAAGGGTTTCATTACATTCAATTCAAATAAAAAATAAATGAAGGCTGTTTGAGTCAGTGTAGTGGAATTTTTTATATTACCGAGGCGTCGACTAGGTGATTTGAGGGTCGTTTGTTAGGTCTTATACCCAGTGGTCATCTAGCGTTACATCGCAGGATCAGGGCATATAAAGGCTATCGTGGTTACCTAGAGTTTATACTATTTGGGAGCCGGTTTGGCCATATGTATGTTCCCTGACCCGACCTGAACTTCGACTGACCCTCTTATTAGACTAGTCTGTTTGACCAGCCCGTGCTGCTAAGATTTTCGGCAACATTTCATCCGACTGCGGTTGAAACACAAAACCCATGTGTACCAAGAAGCCAAGCTAACGCAATCGGATCATCGATTACATATGACTCAAACGAAACTAAGATTACACAGAGTTATCCTAAAAACTAGGTTAAGTACTTGAACAGTGATAACATCAGTTGTTACATAATATTTATGTTATTTAATAAAATATCCATAATATCCTATTTGATATGTCAGATATCCTGAGGACAAGGTAGATGGACATAAAGCAGGAGTAATGTTTGTTCAACCTACGATAAACAAAGGTCCAGAGTAATTGAGATGGCCATAAATTTGACCAGAGTGATTGGCGAGTTATATATAAACGTCAACAACTTTGTTATCTAAACACATAAATTTGATATGTAGTTTTATTAACAAGGCCATATGCACTCTTACAATCATGCTTTAGATTCCCTTTGAATATTAAAAACATCTTTTATTACCCAGTGTCAATATACAAAAGCCATAATATGATATATAGTATATATGATTATTGCCATGGTGTAGGTGTTCTATGTTTCAGTGGGGAAATTAGTTTTGCTTTTATCAGAAAGCTGTTTCAACAATCGATTCATTATATAATAGATGCAGTCCGAATAATCAGCCTGCTACATTGCCTTGTATTTTGCAAACATACTATTATGTTTTCATCAAGCTATCATATCGAGGCTCTCACCTTTTGGCCCCCAAGTATGCAATTCTTCTGTCCTTATGCAACCTCTGAATGGTCCCAGGCCTGACCAATGTCAGAACATCTTCTATCTAGCTATTCTGAGGATTACTCATTTCCACACTGGTTTTTAATATGCTTTTTACAACGAGCTTTTCTATTGGTTATTCGGTTGAGATTCTCAAAAGGCATTCATATTCATTAGCTGTCGTCACAAAAGGTCGTGGGTTCAATTCAGTTCATATGAAGGAGTTTACCTAATAGTTAAGCAACACTAGAACAGGGGACAAAGCGGCAGCATTATCTCTCGGAGCAGGATTACATAACATATTATTTAATGTCTAAGGATGATGTAATAACGCGGTAAGACATAATATTCGATCTCATTCATAAGCATCAAGATATCTCACTCGTAGTAAATTGTTGTTGATATGTTAACTCAAAAAAAGTATTTAGAATGTCCATTTGGCCTATATATCGTTGCGGCCATTTTATTGATTAAAAATGACCACGTAATCACAACAAAAATGCATCCATCTTGTTTTCAATAACTCAACAATTAAACTAATAAAATATTTTAGAATGATAGCAGGGATTTATTTCTAATGTTGATATGCACAGCACGTGTGTACAAGAAAACAGAAAGTTGTAGTAGTTCAGTAACAAAAAATCGGTATGTTGATGGTAATGTGGAAATGCATCGATCGATATGTTAGTACTAAAGTGAATTATCACAAAGCGGGAAATGCTCAAAATGGTAAACAACTCTTTTATATGCCGTGTGCGTAATACTTATTTTTCGTTATGTAAACCGGGTATGTAAACAAGAGACTGTATGTCACATTTTTGTTTTTTGTAGACGTCTAAGAGTTTCGACTAAACAAAGGGCTATATATATTACGCAATGATGGATGTTGAACGACGTGAGGTCAAGGCAGAGCCACTTAGTCCGCCACAAACAGATGAAGAATCTTCTGCAAACCAACCAAGTCCTCATTCTGCCCCCAGTGAACATTCCATAATAAATGGGCATATTTCCGATGAGTCAGATGCTCCTCTAGACTTTTCTCTCAAGAGAAAGAGTAGCACAGAAGATACAGACAGTGAACATGATATAAAATCAAAAATCAAAGTTGAACCGAGTGAAGATAAGTATGCAAAGATAGGACAACCTCAGTTGGCCTCACCTGGTAGTATCCCAGGGACTGTCAATGGTCACAGCTTTGGCACAGGAGGTGTCGTCTTCCCAGGTATGTCACCGGGGTCTGCTCATGCAAATGTAGATGATGATGGTCAGGAAGGAATGAATAACAACCAGAGGCCATTCAAGGTCTACCCAAAAACTGAAGGTGTATCACTACCCATTGGATATTATGGCATCCCAGGTCTAAGTATGCCTGGTGGCGAACAGACCAACGGCACTGCTCAATCCATGACAGCTATGTCAGAAGAACTTTTCAATCAATACCGACAGCAGATATTACAGGCTCAGGAATCACTTAAACATTTGACTGATAAGAAAAGTCGCCTAAAAATTGACCCAACCTCTATCCTGGCTAATTCTACCTCTTTGGCATCAATGGCAGCAGCAGCTGCAGCTGTGAATGGCACAAGTAGTGGCACCACATCTACCTCACCCCCATCCCTTCTGCTCACCACATCCGGAGCTTCATCTTCCGCAAGCTCAACCCCTTCTTCCTCCCCTGCCCCTTCTGTGCCTTCTTTACCAATGATGCGTGCGACCCCACAGAAATCGAACAGAAAACGTCCAAACGTTCTGCCGGACAACCAAAAGGATGCTGCCTACTGGGAAAGACGTCGGAAGAATAACGATGCTGCAAAGAGGTCCAGAGATGCAAGAAGGGCCAAGGAAGACGAAATAGCTATCCGAGCTGCATTCCTTGAACAAGAAAATTTAAAGCTGAGAGTAGAAGTGGCTGCTCTAAAAAACGAGACTGCAAAATTAAGATGTATGCTCTACAATAGTTAGAGGATACATGTACTGTGTGGAGGGGTATGCTTTACACATTTTAGGTGAGATAAGTGAATTCAAGTATTTATGTTAACTACCATAAAATATTTTTATTTGCAACGCTTAGTTATAATCACTTCACCGGAACAATAACAAAACCATATACAACACAATTCGATGTAGATCTTTTTAAAAGGATGCCAGAAAATAGTTCATTTATATTATCATAATAGGTTAATGAGATCGATATTCAGCGCAAATAACTGTCATTGAGAAAGATAATACTATGTCGTTATAAATGCATTCATTTTTATGGCCTATGCAATGTATTTTATGTCCATTTTCATTTTTTTGCTCAATTGATTCTCATGTGATATTAATAATCTAAGTTGTGTAACAGCTCGTGATCCGACCAATTTTAATAATTACCCTTTTCGTTGTAAAAGAGTTCTAATTGAAAATCCTTTATTCTAGTACCGAATTCCTACAATTTTTCTGACCTTTTGTTATAAATCGGTCACGCTTCTTGTTCTACAATCCCAATTGATTTTAAGGTGTTGCACAAAAGCCTGATTATTACTTGATACATGGCATAGAAGGGTCAATACAATATGCAACTCCATTCCTTTGTTAATTGTACATGCATGAAAAAGAATCGATATTCATTATTGAATACGATGGACGAACTTTACATCATGTCGATTGGTTGTATGTCAAGAATTCAAATGTGTCATGATAGATCAGCTGTGGTTCAGATTAGATAAAAACAATTCTTAACAAGCGTGTTTATCAAGTTTGAAGCAGAATATTTTCAATTTATCACTCTGAATAAATGTAAATAAATCATATATATCGGTGATTACACAAACATTGAGTGGTAACGTTGCATAAAAACATAGTCATCACTGCGATCAATGTCGACGTGATAATGGTAGTTAACATAAAATTCATTGAATTTTACCTTCACAAGTAAATGGCATTCACTTTCACATGAACTTGAAAAGGAATCTAAGTTACATTCCTTTTCTATGTTAACTTCAGGGACGAACTGAAATATGCATTCAGTAATTTCATCTTAGTAGGTATAATCTACAGGGTCATGTGGAACCTCAGAGATCCATTATTTTGTATATACAGGGTATTCCACACGACCCATCTTTTACATACTTTATAACTCGTTATATAGTTGGTATAGTTTTTTCATAACAAAACAATGGGGTTTTAAGCATGTTAAGATTGATGTTTGTAAAATTGTAACTTAGAAGTAAAAGGGGATGTAACTTTTGTTGCCATAGGAATGTCCAGTGCCATATAAAGAGAAAAGGATGTGTTATGATCAAGCAAAAATAGAACACATCCTTTTGTTCTTTAACTTCATTTCCTAGTACAATCTCAGTTGAAGTATTGTTTATATTTTAAGTTCCTATAAGGACAAACCATAACCTAACTTGCCAAAGTACTGTGATCCGATCGGTCCACAACACAACAAAAGACTATGGTCAGATTAGGCAGGTTGTGGCACTTAACCAGGCTACCGATATTGGTCAGGACAGCCTTTTGGTGCCTATTTATACTCATTGCACTGTACTCGCTAACCTAACCATGCTATAAACTAACCATAACTTTCTACCAGCATCATGTAACTAACTTTCAAGTGGTCTTATAGCATTAATTATGTCATAAAAATCTATTTTGATATCTATTTTATGCAAATTGAAATTCCAGTGGAATTTTGAAGTATAGTCTTATTACTAGCAACCATTTTTGAATTGAAGTGCCATTTGTAGCTTAAATATATAAAAAAGCCTCGCGAATGTTGTAATAAACAGGACGTGATTAGACTATCAATTATCATCTAATATAAAAAATACTTCGCAATTTCCACCAAAATTACTCATAATTGGCATACGAGTGAGTGACATCATGTTGAATCATCGAGTCAGGTTGACCCTCAGACATCTATGTTCTTTGTCGTCTCATGTGAATTTAGTTTACTCAATGGGGTGATGGTTTACATACCTTCCTATATCAATGATGTAAGGTCTCTCAAAAGACATCATAATATTTATCAATTCATGTGAGCTGGAGGACAGGGCATAATTGACCTTGGACTGGGTTATTCGTTTATGCTTTGTGTTCGTATTCAATGCAACTTAAAAAAGAGGTTGAATAACAACCCTTTCAAGTTTGGTTTAGATGAACATAAGGAATTTTTGTTTAGTAAAAAACAACCAAAGTGCATTTTTCATTCCACCTTACAAACCAAAACTACCTCAGTAACCTCAGTAACGTGGTGTGTTCATTAGCACCATACCAATAGTATGGCTTTTTCTACTTTCTTGTTATACGTAACTTTAGTCAAAAACAAAAGAAGACACGTTGTTATATATTCAAATTAAAGTTGATCATAAAATTGAAGTTAACTGTCGATTTATTCAGCTTTTTAGTCATATGATACAATCTATGGTGCTTTAAAAGCCCAGTGAAATGATACCAAAAATACGTGAACTGCTGGAAAATAAGACTTGCAATTGATGTCATGTGTTTCTAATAATCATGGTATCTTAACTGAACTAACCTATGTACATATCCTAACCAGCTTTATATGTGTAGATACTTCTAGCTTTGCTTTTTAGTTGTTTAGAATACAGTTATGGTTAAAAAGTCACATACCTAATATACGCCAATTGGCTATATATACGTAAATATGTTTACGTTTCAAGTTTAAACATACACAGCCTATGGCATACAAACTCCCAAAACACGTATCACATTCATTATTGAAATATTTTTGTATACTCGATTGAAAAATAAAGTTGTTTGATAGCGGTCATGAGCTTGCTACACAAAGGTCAATTCAAACATCACATCATATAGATCAGTGCAACACCCGGTCATAAATAAGACATATTCTCGTTAATAGCTAACAGTGGCAAGGCCATATTACATATGCTGGCTTGTGAAGCACTTGCAGTTTCAGTGCAAAGTGGCAATGGCATTAACTGTAAGCCCGTAACGTCAGTATATTGTCAGTTTTTCTAGCCAATGGCCATAAAGCTATCAACCTTCCCCATATTAAACTTCATAAAACCACTTGTCTCATAAATATTCTGGTCAAAGATGGGTCAATGCACAGTGATATTTTCCCACTCTCTGGTACATCGTGATTGTCAACTACAAATCACTCCAGTCATCATTCAACTCAACCAATCCACGTGGACATATCGAGAGTGTCATTTAATCGATCTTTACCTTATTTTATGAAAATGTTTGCCATTTTTTATATTATCTATACATCAATATTTCATCGATGGGAGTTGCATCTGTTATCGCATGATGGCTATTATGTGTATAATAAAGTCCAAGGGCATAGCTTTATATTACATGATTTTTTACTCAGTAAATATGAATACCCATTTGACATGAAATGAAGTTAGATATTAATATGGTGGTACCTGGCTGTCGTATACCGATTAAAATATTACCTATTATATATGCGTATATAAATGTATATTCTGCTCATAAAATATTGATTGTATAAAATTATCAGGCTTGGTTTTGATACAAGATTGTTACTGTTACGATCCAACAGTAAAAATATCAATAGGTTGTTTGTTTTAACCGAGTATGACCTTTAGAGTATTACATCACTTATTGACCCGTTGTCAATACGTTGCTAAGTGTTTCCCATAAAATATATTAATGTGCTTCATTTGCGTCAGCAGCACTGACCGTTGTTTTATTGATTACTGGCAACATTGTTTAGAAGCGTGTTATGTTGTGCAATATGCCGAGGCATAGCTAGCTGTGGTAACAATGAACTGAAATCAGATAATTAAATCTAATGGAACGCTAGCAAGCCTAGTTGCACTTCAGAGGCCAAAGAAACCATCAGTAGCCTAAAGCGGAAGGTCAAGCCACGCGCCAGTTATATAACAGCTACATAGCTAGAATGCTACTTCTGTAAAACATCGACTTTGTAGTTGCAGGTCGTATAGTACATTTGCAATTGTTGTATTATTCAGAAAAAGTAAAAGGTATTAGGATGTATATTCATTTTAACATGTGCTTCGAAAAACTGTGCCATTTACTCGTCACTTCAGAAGGGGTTTAAAGTGTTGAATTTCACCATTTATGGTGTTATTTACAATTGTGTTCAGAGTGCCATGTGCCATAGGCCAGTATAACACAGAATGGTGTATATAGTTGAGTCTTTTTGTATTTCAAGAACTAAAAATGTAAAACATTTAATAAGTGACATTTAGAATACAAATTTACTTTGTCTGTTCGTTGTAGAACAGCTTTGTTGATTGCCAAACATATTTAGTGTTTATAATTACATTTATTTCATCCATTAAAATGGACTGTGTAAAATTGATTACTTTACACTTTAAACAATATGATGATTTTCATCTAAAATAGGCCTTTGTATAATTTAATTTATTTAACAAGATTGTTACGTTTTAAGATATTCAATATTTGTTTGTGCAATCGTCCGACAGGCTAGGTAAATTTACTGTAAACTAATTCTTGTTTTCTTCTGATATTACCTTAGTATCTGTACCTTAGTAATACAAACGTTATATATTTCAAAATATTGGAAAATGTACAGAGATATTCTTAACTCAATTAAGTCATTTTTCAAGGTAGAACAACAATTGGATTATGCATAATATAAGGAGAATGTATTTTTAAGAAAGTGCCATAGTGGATTCGAGGGGGCCATAACACTGTAATGTATGCTGTAGACATTAGTTTTTGCATGAGTAGATAGCTAAATAGTATTTTGATTAGGCATTTTGCACAATATAGGTATCAGCTGCTTTATTCTTGCATTATATTTTATTCCCTCATATATAACCTTAAATATATTTAGAAACGGTTGTATAGGTAAACATTGCATGAAATACTGGTACATGTATAAAATAATATTTGAGTTTTTGTATTTTACTTTAATTGTGAAGACTCAATTTGTCATTAAGTGATGTTTATTCAGCTTGTGGGTTTATAGATCGATTATATTATACGTAACAATGTATAATAAACTCTTTAGAATAGTGATTCAGCGTCAATGTATGAAAGTTGTTATTAATGAAATTTTATTGTGACATTATAATATCAACATGTCAGCTTATATGTGTATATTTATGGTAATTACAAATATTCAGGACTTCAAGTGGAAAATGAAATATATTTGCATTGTGAAAAATCAATCTTATAATGGTATAATACTAAATCGTTGTACCATATGTAAGCATTCATTCTTATTTTTATGTATACAATATGGTTTGAATATTATGTGTACGGAATATGGAAA